CTCGACACTTCGTGCATACATAGCTCCCCACACAAGTAATACACAACAAAGATACACCTAGGGGAATGAATTCCCTCTTACAAGGTTAGACAAGAGACTTACCTCGTTCCCAAGCTCACTTTCCGGCCCACAAATTTACTCTAAAGCCTCAAGTTGGTGCCGAACAATCCGAAGCTATCCAAATATTACATAAATAAATCAATATACACTCACAAGTTCATAATATTGCCATTAGAGTAATCACCCAACCCAAATTGGAAGATTCTAAAATTTACCCTGGGCCCACGTGCCCGAATTTCGGAAATTTTTGAAGATAAATATTACCCTTAGCCTCACGAACTCATATATATAATTTTTACTTAATTCCATAACCATTTTATGGTCAAATCTCATTTTTATCAAAACCCTAGTTTTTTCTTCTCAAAATCCCATTAATTTCACCATTTTTCCATGTTAAATCTACCTATGATTCGCGTATTTAGCTAAAGAATTGATAGGGACCACTTACCTTTGATGTTGATGAAATCCCTCCACAAAATGCTCTCAAAATCGCCTAAGACCATGTGGGAAATGATGGAAACAAAGCTAAGTCCCGCAATAAAAAGCTCTTGCACCAGTCACAGATGTCGCATTTGCGACATCTTGTTCACAAATGCAAAGGCTGTCCATCTCTGTCATGGTCGCAAATGCGACCAAAACTTCGCAAATACAAAGAGGGCAGTTCGCAAAAGCAGCATAATCTTCGCAAATGCGAAATCCTCAGTGCCTTCCCAACATCGCAAATGCAAATGGTTCCTCGCAAATGCGCGCTCGCAAATACGAACATAACTTTGCATTTGCGAGACTTGCAGCACTAGCCCAGGAAACTAGAAAAACTGAAGTCCTTTCGCCCCTCCAAACGTGTCCGAAACTCACCTGAGCCTACGAGGCTCCACACCAAATATCCACACAAGCCTAAAAATATTATACAAACTCGCTCGCGCGATCAAAACACCGAAATAACCTCTAGAATCATGAATCGGATGCCAAAATGCACGAGTTAAATCAAGAAACTCTAAAACTTCTAAAAATACTTCTGCACGTACGATTCCTATTAAATCAATTAGGAATGACGCCATATTTTGGGTGTAAGTCATAAATCGCCATACGGAACTATTCCTAGGCTCGGAATCCCAAAAGGACCTTGATAACAGCAAAGTCTACTCCAAACCAAACTTAAAGAACTTGGAAAACCTTCAATGCGCCAACTTTCAATACTAAGCGCTGAAACGCGCCCGGGTCATCTGAAACCCGATCTGAACACACGTCCCAAGTCCAAAATTATCATAAGAACCTATTGGGACCGTCAAATCTCGGTTCCGAGGTCGTTTACTCAAAACGTTGACTCAAGTCAAACTTAACCATTATAGGCTACTGTTGAGGAACTAAGTGTTCCAATTTCAACCCGAGCCCTTCCAAACCCGAACTAACCATCTCCGCAAGTCATAAAATAGTAAAAGCACATATGGAGAGTCTTAATTAGGATAACGGGGATCTAGAAAGCAAAACAACCGGTCGGGTCGTTACAATATTTCATCTCAAACCTCCTTCTAGAGGTGAGTGTGGTATATTCACTACCACTAGCACGTTCATATTCTTCCAAGAATGTATATGTATCCATAAATCACATGTTGTCCCATTCACATCATGAATGGACCATAATCATTTGTATGTGATTTATAAAAACTCATGTCAAATCGATGACAAACATTACTTTCACAAAGTAAAGGATTATTTTGAGAATTCTTATTGGGCTCATTACCATATGATGACGATTATAATTTTGTCTATTGCCACGTCCACTTCTATTGATACCTTCACGGTAATAATTTTGTCTTCTTTCAGACTTATCACATACTGCTACCGCATTCTCCTAAGAGAACGAGAATAAAGCAAATTCAATGGGATGTGTTTCCACTTCTTGTGCTCACAATTTTACATGAATTTGATCGTGGCAAGATATAGAAATTTTATCACTTTGGGTGGATATAATTTCTTACAAACTCTATTAGAGTTATATCAAAATTTATTGTCTTTGCTTGTATTTAAAATCAAATTATAGAATTTCAAGAATTTAAAAGAGAAAAATAAGGTAAAATACTTTCTTTAAATCCAGAATTTATTCCTGAAGGAAGTTCATAGAATAATTGACAATCATTATGCTCAAAATTATGTACAAGTTGAGCACCATACACGTATCTCAAAGCCTAGTGATCAAAGAAGATGCCTAATATAGAAATATCAATGCATGCACGCAAGAGCTCACACAAATTCCTATATATTCTCTCCACGGGTGGTTTAATTTCTCAAACATTTGACAACTAATTAATAATATATCTATAAATTAAAATAATCGTCCGCTACTCAATTGGTTAGAGTCTTGTGCTGATAACGCGTTATAAAACAATAAAAGAAGAAGAAGAGTATTGCATAAAAAAGTATAGAGAAAGAATTCTTATTCATTTCGGATGAATTACAATGGAATAGAATCTCCTCTATTTATTGGGGAGAAGTGACTTAGCCATAAAATAACAAACTCTAAAATCTCTCTGAAAGATACATATTCACCGTAAACGAAGTATTACTATTTATAACAGTAATCAAATTTCTTTTTTGCCTTCTGGAAAGCAATTTTGTAAAATTAACCTACTTCACAGAAAATCAATAAATAGTGGAGTAGTAGTAATAAATAAATTGAGAAAAGATTCTAAATCTGTTTACTGTATATTTGGTAAGTACGCCTTAACAATAAAATTCTTAGTGCACTTTAACAAACTACGACATTCAAAAAGCAAGTCCTTAAAAGTGTCTGGTGTGATAACAATTTGGTTTAGCATATAGTATCTAATTAAAATTCTATTTAAATATTCAGCAGTACAACCATATGGTGTAAATTATTAATTAACTGTCCGACAAGATATACTAGAGCTGTTAATATGGGCTGGGCCGGGCTAGCCCAGCCCAGCCCTCGTGGGCTTTAACAATTGACGAACTGGGCTGGGCTAGCCCACCATTTTGATGGGCCTTATAATGGTCAGCCCACCTCAGCCATATGTCGGCCCCGGGCCCCCACGTGCCGGTCCATCATTTTTAAAAATATAATTTTATATTTTTTCTTTAAGTTCTGACCTAAAAAAGATAATTGTTTAAAAGTTAAAAAATATCTTATTGGAAAAATTCGTAAAACTTAATTATTTTTTATATTGTTTCAATATATCACAATAAACACTAAAAAAAGTAAAAGACAAGACTATATTTCATTCACTTAAAGTCAAAACTCAAAACAAACTATTCAAGAGAACGTCCATGATGCTTATGAGATATCCAACACATCATCTTCAACAAACACATTTGAATCCGCTTGTGGCAAGGTTGTCTTAACATCTTCATTTTCATCTACATCTATAATTCATATGCAATATTAATTAGTTAAATATTAAGAATAATTTAAAAACTAATAATATTTAAATTACATAAAAAAATATTATCAGTTTGAGTTTGGGAAAAGCTGTGCAGTCGATTTTCTAGTAACAAGTGTTTGGACATTTTCATAATAAATGCAACTTATGTACTTTATAGGAACTCGCCACGAATGCTAAATGTTGATTCTAATGCTACAATGGTAATAGGAATACTAAGTACATCACGCACCATCACTGAAAGATCAAGATATTTTCTAGAATGGTCCTTCCACTACATGACGACATCCATCTCTTGAAACTTCTCAAGATCAAGTTTTGGTTCCTCTTAGTAAAGATCCTATTCTAACTTTCCATCTCTAGAGACAGTATACTTTTTATTTTTTATATATTTTAAATAAATATTTTATTAGACCCACGGGCGGGCCACGGGCTTACTCGGGTCAGACGTAAAAGCCTCATTTTTAAATGGACTCCAAAATTTTTAGCCTAACCTTGCTAAATTACGGGTTGAGCTGGGCTGACCCAACAGACCAAGTCCACATTGACGGCTCCAAAATATATGGAGACTTTGAGAGGAAAGGTAATTAAGTGTATTATTAAAACTGGATATGCATCCCTTAATCATGCCAGCCAAGACAGAAGGTCATTATATTTTACCTTATCTGATCAAATTAATAGGATACTATTTTGAATCAATGTGAATGTGATTTTCTTTCTTTTCTTGCACTAAAGTAGGATATTGGATTGTATCTTGCTCTTCATTATCGTCCCATCCTTTTCACATGGTAAAACCGTAAACCATCAAATATTGACAAAGAAAGGCTATATCATTATATTTCTAATGTCATGGATAACGATAAAATTGGAGAATTTTTTTAATACCTAAACTCAATTTAGGCGCTAAATACGTATTGATTTATCATGATTAAGTGTTAGATTTGCGTAATAATATTAGTTATTTATCATGATTAAGTGATAGTAGAACTTATATGACAAAATCATATTACACATTTGCTAGTTTGGATTATGTATCGAATCGAGTAAATATTTATCCAAAAGTAATGTACCAAAAATTACAAGTATAACCAATTCATAACAACCCTCTCCCAAACCTTGTCCTCCAACCATGTGTTATGTCTCCATCCTTAGATAGTTGTTTTAATTTATTCTTATTTAGAATTTGTGTCTAGATAAGTAAAATTCATAATAACATCACTATATATACACACTACAAAGAAAAACAGAGTTTTGAATGGAAATGCTTAATTGTTTCACTTGACTTATAAGTTAAAATTGACTTAATTAAACAAATAAATTTGAAAATTAGAGGAAATTATGCAACTCAGATTCTATAATTGTTTTTTTTTTTTTTCCTTTCCTTCACTTCATAATTTATGCATATGACAAATTTGGACCCCGCACTCACAAGAGTGCCAGTGGCACTTACCAAGTATTACCAGAATTTCTGCTGATTTTGCTTTTTCTCTCACCCCACTATATATAGCATTCCACCAGTTCTCACCCAAAACAAAACAACTAGTCATCACTTTCATTCCACCCCCCCCCCCCCACCCCCCACTTCACAAGAACACTTGAACAAGCAAAAAGATTCAAACTTTATGCAGAATGGACCAAGAATTTCAAAGAAATTTAATTAGTGAAAATGGTGGTTTTGAACAAAGCTATTTTAGAGGTTTAGGTACCCCCTTTTCTTGGTATTTTTCAAGAATGGCCTCTTTTTTGAACCCACAAAACCATCATCAAAGTTTTGATGATGATGGGGTTGTTTCTTATGATGATGATTATTCATCACCATTTAGTTATTGTGGATACTCAAGACCCATTGTGGTTCTTGATGTAATATGGAACTTGGCATTTATTTGTGTTTCTTGTTTTGTACTATTGACCACTTTAAGTGAAAGGCCTTCTACTCCTTTGAGACTTTGGATTGGTGGCTATGCACTTCAGTGCCTATTGCATGTGGGTTTTATTTGGATTGAGTTTCAAAGAAGGAGTTTTGATGATTTTGATGCTGTCAATTTTGATGGGGTTTCTTCTTTTTCACTGTTTCAGAGCAGGTAACTCCAGTTCAATTTGTCTGATTTTTAGGGTTTGATAGTTGGTATTGGGTTTAGTTTTTTAATTTTTTTGTCTTACTGGATGGTTTATGCAGCTTTCTAAACAGGGAAATTTTTTTGTTATAAAGAAATAAACTTTGCTTGTAGTTGACCTGTTGCATGGTACTCTATACCTAGGAAAATGTTCATTCTCTTTTCCATTTCATCTTGCACCATTTTTTTACTAGTTTACTGCCATTCTGTGGTTTGTTTTACAATTGTTCTATTTGCAGTAAGTTTTTTGTTTCTCTTTAGGGTTGGGACTGGGATGGGGTGGGAGTGGGGGGTGGATAGTTCATAATCCTAGTTTGACTAGTAAATTGTTGTATTTTGTCTCTTTTCCTTGTTGGGTTTCTGATTTTATTCAATCTTTGCCCTATACCTTTGCTGTCATAGTATTCTTAGTTTACTGACTTTCCGAAGAATAATAATTGGATAGCAGCATAGTGTGCCTTTAACAAAGATGAGGAAGAAAAAGCATCCCTTTTTTGTTAGAATGTGTGAAAGCTATTGCAAGACCCCAGCTTTTGTGGTACATATTACATATATCTCGGGTAACGTCTATCTAGGAGTGCTTATATCAAAAGACATAATTTCCCATTGCTTCCCTTCATTTGAATCTAAGATCCTTTGAAATAAGTGTAGCCTCTAGCTCTATGTGTTTTTCTTTAATAATAATTAAAACCAAGTCTAGCTTCTAGTTCTTGGATACCTAAAAGTTAACCACCTTAACACGGCTTTGTATCCAGAGTGGTCTGTTTTATGGGTAGATTGAAAAGCAAATCTTGTTGCAAGTCGAATGTCCTTAAGCTAGAGTTGTTTCTCTTTGCTTTGTGGTGCCATGACATAACTCATAGAGTGAGGGCCGTGGGATTGAACCATTCTGGTATTGTGTCACTAGGAGTGTAAAGCTCTTTTAGCAGTCTATTTTTACTGGATTTGGTGGATCTCTTTTCAGGAATACTAGGATATTTGAGGTCAATACAGGCCTATAAATTGTATAGCATGAAATGAGATGTCTTTTAACTGTTTCTGGGCTTTAGTTGGCCTTCCTAAGAAATTATTCTTAAGAGGCTATTAAATGAGAACGATTGCCTTTAGTATTTTGGCATCTTTCTGATACATCTCCGTTGAAAAGCATTGTCCATCTGCTCTGAAAATTTTCAGCTATAACTTAAGAGAGCTCATGATTCATCACACATAGACACATACACAAAAGGGACTTTAGAAGAGGTCCTGACTTTCAATCATAGGGAAATCTAGGGACTTTTTCTCAAATGGTCAATTTTGATGGAGATTTTCCGGAGTTAATAGTCCTGTTTGTCCATGTAGGGATAAGTGAGACTTAGAACCTCTAGTTTTAGAATCCCTAAGTTGTCTTTGAAAACAAAGTATTAGTAGGAGTGAATTGGACTCCAGTAGAGTCCAATTGAATAGAAGATTCATATAGCCGAATTAGACTAGTTTGGGATTTAAGTATAGTTGATTGATTGATTGATATATCTTGTCAACAAAAACTCTAATGCAAATGCAGGCGCTGGCAAGGGTATTCTATCCCTAACTTCGCTAAGCCGATATCATTGCTCTTACTTAAAATAGTACATGCATCTTTCCTTTTTTGGAGAAGATTTGGTTGATAATCTTTTCTCCTCCATTGCGTCTAGCGTTATTTGCCCTTGTCTCTTAAGATTTAGATTTTCCATCTTAAGAAGGAAACATCGGAAGAAAAGGGTAGTAATATTTTAACCCAAATTCTTGGGTTAGAGATTATAATACTGAATTGACATTCAGCTGTGGTTGTTAGCGTGACGTATCAATATGCCCGAGCTTGTTTGCACCAATAACCACCCCACTCCCACTACACCACAATAGAATGATAATAAAAGAAGAAAAAAGGGCAAAAAGATCAATTACTTTGTTGTTAAAGCTCAAGAGAGGGAAAGAAAAGAAAATGGCAGCGGCTCTTTTTCTCTCCTTCCCAAAAATATCGACAGTTCATATTTCAATGCTACTTCACTTTCGAGCTCCTCTTTTGCCCAGCGTATAGATATTTTGCTTTGTTTTAGTCCTGGAGTTCATGAACTAAAGCTCAAAATTCTGATTGACCTTTACTATTTTGATTGTGAAATGTTATCACTCTTAATAGATGAAATTTATGTACTTAACTTTCTTCTTTTTGTAGCAGCATCATGAAGAGGCTGGAATCAGTTAATACTGTGGTTTCATCTATCTGGTGGGTGTTTGGCTTTTACTGGATTGTTATAGGTGGCCAGCCACTTCTGCAAGACTCACCTCGTCTTTACTGGTATGAGCTATGCTTTTAGAATTTGAAGCTTTTTTTTTCTTTGTAATTACTTCTGTGAGCCACGATTTCCCTTCCTCCTATCCCCCCAAAATCAATGAACAAGAAAAATTAGGAAAATATACAGAGCTTGACTAAATGGAAGCTTCCCTAGATGTATGTAGCTGAAGAAATTAAGTGGTGGTTATTATTTCGACACTTTCCATTTACACATGTATGTTTATTTCTGAAAAGTATGGGTGCAAGACTTATCTTTTTTGCTTTTATAATATTTGTATAATAGACCCTTCTGGCCCTTCCCTGGACCCCGTGCATAGCGGGATCTTAGTGCACCGGGCTGCCCTTTCTTTAATATTTGTATAATGTATGTGTGTGTATGTGTATGGTGGGAGTGGCAGGGCAACTTAAAAGTATCAGTATGTTTGATAGCTTAAATAACAGTATCCTTAAATTGTTGCAGGTTATCAGTGGTCTTCCTTGCATTTGATGTGTTCTTTATGGTCTTTTGCATTGTGATGGCATGTGTACTCTTCTTCGCGCTCTTTTGTTTCTTTCCATTTATAGCAACAGTTGCATATGCCATGAGACTTGGAGATGGAGCATCTGAAAATGATATCAAGACTCTTCCCAAGTATAGATATGGTCAATCAAATACTTCAGGGAACCTTGTAAATGTGAAGACAGGAGAAGATCGCTTAAATGTTAGTGCGAAGACAGGAGAAGATCACTTAGTATCACAGTTCAACAGTAGTGATTCTGTACCTGAGCTTGCTCTTCAACCAGATGATTCTGTAAGCATGTTTCCTCCATTTGAATCTTTTCCTCTTAGTTTACTGTTTTCTCTTCTCTTGTGTTTGCTTAATTTGAATTAAGGATAATACTGTAAGTGTGGAGGGAAGTAGGCTCTTTAAACTGTTATTAGAAACATAGAGAGATACAATTATTAGGAGACTCTGGAGACAGAGAAATAGAGAAGACTTTCTTCGTAACTAAGGAAATCTTTTGAAGTATCGAGAACGAAGATTCTAGTGCGAGTTGTTTCGAGATCATTGAATGAAGGAACCTGGATTTTTCTCAGATTTATTTGACAAGGGCACTATTTCTCGAAGTGTAAACGTACAAGCTATTTTGCTCCGAATCTGTCTCTAAGTTTTGGCTATTTAATTTGGTATCCAATTCAATGAGCTATTTTCTTCTCTTTATCTGATATTACTTTAATATGGATTTTAGAGTGGAAAAAGTAGAAGAAGGGAGAGTCAATGTCATATCCAGATGGAGTAGTTTGAGTTATATCTTTCGAGGAAAAACAGGATGATCCACCTTTCTTTCTAGAATCTATCATGCTCTGTTGAAAAGAACCCCAAAAGCTTTGCAACTTGTGTCAAACTATATTGTTTTTTGACCATAGTTGCTAACTTTTTTGACACAGGAGTGCTGCATATGCCTCTATAAATATTTGGATGGAGTAGAGCTATGTGTCCTTCCCTGCAATCATCATTTCCACCATGGATGCATTAGCAAATGGCTAAGGATAAATGCAACCTGCCCACTCTGCAAATTCAATATTCTTAGGGCTGAAACTCTAGTCTGACTATTTTTGTCAATCAAAAGACTTGAGATTATACACAGAAATGTTAGCTTTTCCATATCTAATGGCAATATGTAATGTATTTAATGATCTGATTTGTACACTCCTTTTTCAGCGCAGTATTGATAATGGAGTTTAGGTTCTATGCACTTCACTTGACGGAATAAAAACTACTTAAAAGATAATTACAGGTAAAGTATATGATACAACAACTGTGCCTCAGAGTTAGGATTGATTTGTATGGATTCTAATTTCTCCTTAAGCTCAAATCAGGTCATCAAAATCAAAACCCTTCACCTCTGGTCTGAATTGTAAAAAATAAATGGTACTTTGCATTTTCTTTAACATTATCAGTGTATATGACTTTTTATCTTTGATAATATTAATAATTTCGCCATTGATGTGGCTGATAAGTAGGCTGACGCAAGCAAACTGGATAAAAGCAACTTAGTGGACTGTAATTTGATAATTGCAGTGGAAAAAGTCGGTGGAGTTGCACCTTTTCGCCTTAGTCTCATCATCAGTGAATTATCCAATTTCACTACTATGGCCATTCTACGTACTAATTTCGCATAGGGGCGTAGGGTTGGACCAAAGTTACTGCCTTATTTAGATTGGGAATCCAGAGATTTGTTCTCTGAGCCTATAATTGAATAGATGGACTTGGACTTTAAAAGAGGGAAAATGACATTGAATAGCCACTCTCAAAATAATAGCTGAAAAAATGTTTATTTTTTTTGTATATATATACATTATGTATGTTACATACAAAAAATTTATATACTTTTTCGGCTACTGAATGTAAATAGTTTCTGCTGCGGGTACAAGTGAAAAAAAGCCCGAAAGATTTGGCTTACAAAATGCATCCAGAACCAGATGATAATGCTCCTGCTTAAGTATTTAAACCTTCAGACTTGACAAGGAATTTACTGCTCAGAATAAAGGGTGACTGTAGAATTAGAGGCAAGATAATAAGATCATAGCTCCAGAAGGTGTTTTATAATTAGGGAAAACCATAACTGGAAAAGATACAAATAATCTACAGGCACAAGTGTTGGGCAGAATATGAATGACCACTTTGATTTGAAGGAGACTAGTCAAATAGATTTACTTCTAATTAAGTAAATCAATTTACTTTTTACAGGTTAAGTTGCTCAAAATGCAAACTAGATTGGCATAAAGTAATTTGTTTTTTCCTGAATCATAACCTCATACCATTGGAAAATAATGTTGGTTCAAGCAGATGGTTTCAAAAGTTTACCATTACAATTAGTCCGATCAAAGGTTTCAGGATAGTTGTTTTGTACTTCCTCTAATGAGAACATCAGTACAAGAGCAGCTAAGAGCTTATGACTGCAACAAAGAGGTTTTCCAAATTTCAGCACAAGGATACTCATAAGATGCAAGCAGGGATTGAGCTTCAAGGTTATATTTCGAGGAACAAAGATTACTCCATTGTCTTCCAGGCAATACAATTACATGTAGCCATACCCTAAAGTCACAATACCAAGTCCTAACTAACATATCCAAAATAATGATCAGAGAGCCATGGACTCCATATGCACCTAGCAAGTCTCATCAGTTTAGTGATGATGGTCTATTTACTCGAGGAAACTTCCAAGCTTTTGAATGCCAAACTTGATAATGTAGATACTTGGTTTCAATTTCCAAGTCTGAATCAAATGAAGAACTACCAAAAAGCACTGGGAACATCACTAAACCAAGCTAGTCTTGTTATCTACTTGCCTAATCCTCTAATGTGACAATTAGTACCAATTTCCAGAGCCACCAACATGTGTTACAGGAAATAAAACCTCCAAAAATTCAGACATAGCTCCCAGAAAAAAACTCAACAAAATGAGCAAAAGGGAACTCCACAAACAGAAAATGAAGAATGACCGTCCATGGAATATATCCAAGGGAACTTCCTGAATCACCATTAGAAATTGCATAGGATGTTTCTCAATCAAGTAATAACAAGTACAAACTCAACCCCTAACATATTCGATCACAAAATTAAGAAATTTAATCAGGAAAAGAATCTAATTAATTTCTTGAAATTTTAGATACAGATTGAAGAAAATTATCTTAAGGTCACAGCATTGCATTAATAGAAGGGACACAAGACAGCAGATAAACCTGCAAGATATCTCAGGTTAAGCCTAGACATTCTTGTTCTTCTTCATCTTAGAAGGTGGCCATCGCCCTTTCTTCCTTAGGTGGCGCTTCCTAACGAGTCTCTTCCTTCGTAGTCTGATCTTCTTTGCCAATTTCATTTTCATCTTTTGATCAAGCTTTTGCTGAAGCTTAGACTCCAGGGGCAGATTCTCAACAGGCACACTTTCTTCATTGTTCTCTGGTGCCGGCTCAGGATTATCAGAACCCACACTATCAATGTCCGCAGCTGCCTTGGCGATCAATGCACCTCTCTTGTTGAAGATAAGAGGTGCTTGAATATGGTAATTGGCATATGACTTTAGTTTCAGAGTAATGTGACTGTTGCACAACCTGGAGGCTAATACAGAATAGATTACCATGTTCAGAAACCTTTTAGAGTGGGTCACATGAACAACCAAAAGAACAATCTAGTATACTTTCTTTTTCTTCTTTTTCCCCTTCTGATTTCCAAGAATCCACCATATATCAGAAAAAACGTGCCCCCCATTTTCTCATAGATATAGATTTCCCATCAGTCGCCAACTTTGGCTTGAATTATACTATCTATGTAGCGTAAAATCATGTATACTGAATATATCCTTGTTTGGAATAGTCAAGTGATGTATGTGCACAGAAAAGAATACCAGTAATTTCGATGGAATGCCTGAAAGACAGTGCACCATCAGAAAAGGGATGGAATCACATAAAGGCGCCCATTAGCATCAAATTGTGATGGACAGTTCGAATCCAATATAATGAGAAATGTAAGCCCCGACACCCACCCACCTGCCCGCCCACCCACCCGCAAAATCAACTTCGTTTAATCTGAAATTAGTTGAATTCAGCTACATGAATCCTCTATATTAATTTGCTCTACTCACATTCATTTGAATAGAATACAACTCAACTCCCTCTGTCCCAAATTATGTGACACTATTTCATTTTTAATCTATCCCAAAATGAATGAAATAATTTAACTTTAATTTCGCATTTTATCCTTAATGAGATGATTTATAGCCACAAAAATGTCTATGGATTGTTTTAGACCACAAATTCCAAAATTCTTTCTTTCTTAAACTCCATTTTCAGTCAAACACACTCACATAAATTGGGACCGAGGGAGTAAAGATTTTGTCTTATAAGTCAAATTAGGGGTTCTTTATAAACGGGGATAACAAAAGCCTAACACACTTGCCTTTTTTGGCAACCAAACAAGCAAAAAGGATACTCTTCCCAAATTGCATAGTACATAGCAAGGAAACAACTAAGGGGACAAAAAGCTGAAGAAATAAGAAAGGCCCAAAACCCAGCTCGAAAACCTAATTCAAAATCTCTAGAAAAAGAAAAAGAAAAGAAAATGCGATCAACAACATGTATCGAGTATTCAAAGCACAACACAGTCAACTATAATGAATTAAGAAAATCCATTTTTTTTTTTGGAGAATGGTATATATTAATGAAATAAGAAAAATTCAAGCAGCTGCAAAACAAAAGAGGAATTCAAGCAGAAAACCCAGAATCCAAAATCCCGTTAACAAGGTCACAAGAAATAGCCCGAAATAAAAAATAATACAGTTGCAGAGTATTGATTGGAGAATGTTATTAAGCAATAATACTTACATGGGAATGCAGAAGTAGAGGAAGAATGAGAGGAGAGAGGAACAGAGGGAGCAGTGGTGAAGATAAGGAGAGACATTTCCCCTGCTGTTTTGAGATTGTTTTTTCGGATAAGCTTATTCTACAGCAAGATATATGAACACTGGGTTTTACTTGGCAATTTTACCACCTCCCTTTTAAATTTTTATATTACATTGCGCAAAGGGAATGTTACTTTGTTTTTTTTACATGATATTAGTGATATTGGAAATAAATAGAAAGAATTACAAGAAAATACACATGACTTCGCACCATAACAAAAAATGGTTTATGTTTTTAAGTTTTACCCTACATAGCTCATATTGTACATATTTTGAAAACACTAACTCTTGCAAATTTAAAATTTGTGTTCTTACAACCATTGCTTCTAAAAGCTATGGAGTTAAATCTTTGTTCTCACAACTATTGCTTTCACTCTCTCTTCTTCTCACATCTTCTACATATGATTCAAGTTGACGTTCGCCATTACTGCTTCTTTCTCTATATCATCTGGTTGCAATGTAAAAAAATCGAAGAGTACGTAAAAGTCCACCATTGAAGGTTATTCAAAGCTTTGCTTTCAAAAATAGAATTTTTTTAGTTTGCTAGTTATTTGGATTGGGTGTTGTTCCAATTCATTGAAAATATCAAAAGGTGTTCAAAGTTTAAATTTGAAGTGATTTGGAGTAGATTTAAGCAAGATTTGAGTTAAATTTCAGAAAAGACGTCAGTTTTTTGTATAATTATGTATAATCTTGTATAATAGTGTATATGAGTGTATAAACACAACTTATACACTATTATACACTTTTATACACCTTTATAAAAGCGTCTGTAGACGAACTTCTTCCACGATTTTCAGTTGTAATTCTTGTTCAAAACCAGTCCAAATCTCCATTAAATGACTTCAAATTTTATATACAACCTCCTTATACAATTTCTAACAAGTCTAAATAATACCCACTCCAAATTTCTCACAAAATCAAATTCAAAATTTAAACCCACATATTTAAGCTTGTAAAAATCTAATTTTCACCACCCAAATGGATTTGGTTTGTTGAACTAATATTTGAGTCACAGTTACTGATTCGAAAATTAACTTAAAAGCTTGAGCAATCTTTTTTAAAATTAAATAGTAATTTTGAGAACCTATTGGAGTTGGATGTTGAATCTTAGCCTATATTTTTGGGCTAGTTGGTTGTAAATTGAAATATGGGCTATAAAATTGAAAAGTAGGAAACTCTGTTGTTCTTATGTGAAATTTTCCCAAATAAATATTGAAAAATAATACTAGATAAATATTGGTCAAATACAAATTTTTGGTCGAAATTAATTGCATTCCTTAACCAAATTCAAAATCGCTGAGAGGTAATATTCATTCATTGAATTTTAAGGCTAAAGATTTATCATCTCTATGGGATTAAATCCCAAGTTATTGTGAAGTAAAAAATCGATAAGATTATGGAAGTAAATATTCTTGCATTTATTGCTACTGAATTATTTATTCTAGCTTCTATCGCTTTTCTACTTATCATTTACGAAAAACAGTCAGTCAAAACGATTAATTATCAACTAATTTGAATGAAACTTAACTTCTGAGTTCTTAGCCAAAATTGACGAAATAAAGTGAAAAAGATTCTAATTTCATGTCTTATATAGATAGTATGGTAGAAAGAAAGATTCATCTATTTCTACGTACCATACTATTTATTAGTTAAATTGTAGTTATAAAGTTGCACCCTAGAATAAAATAAAAACTAGAAGCCGCATTTGATATGGATTTATAGATCAACCTACAATATTATCTTGATATATCTGAATATCAATTCTATATATGGGATTGATATAGCATTCAATTTTATTTATTTGCTATATCTATTTGTTCTTATGTCTTAAGTTTGAATTACTAGATTTTTTATTTCCAATCTGAATCTCGGTATCTATTGAAAGAATCAAATCAATGAAGGAAAACGATAGATATAGGCAGATTCAAAAAATCACGTATTAATATTTTTTTTTTAACATTCCTAAGAAGTAATTGAGTGAACAAAGAAAAATATTATCAAGACAAGTGAATAGATTGACCTTGAAACAATAACGATTAGTTACTCTTGCTATAATACAAGCTCGTATTTTATATTTGTTACCCTTTCTCAATGCTGAAAAACAATTTGAAAGAATCGAGTCGATCGCTAGAACTACTGATTTTATAGCTCGAAATTAATAGGCTTACTTTTTCTTCACTTGAATCATAATTACAAGAATCTAGATTTGAGTATCGTGTGCCGTAGGAAAAATAAATCAGAAAAAAGATTTCATTTTTTATTGAATTGAACGTGTTCATTCATTTTAAGTACTTTAGCATATTTTCTCATACTAATTTCTATTCTACCTTTCCGGAGTTCATTCTCGAGGGAACTCCATTTAAATTTACATTCCAAGAAAAAAAAAAGGAGGGGGAGGGGGGGGGGGGTGGTCTACTGAAATAGAACCAATGATGTCGAGAGCATCTTCATTCCTACATAAAATGGTAGATGTAAAAATTCACAACGAATCTTGTCGTTCAAGTCGCACGTTGCTTTCTATCACATCGTTTCAAACGAAGTTTTACCATAACATTCCTCTAAGAACCGATATGAAATTGATTCAATTGTGGAATGAATAGTCATTGTTTGGGCTGTTGTATAAACACCATAATCTGTACTTTGTTCTATATCTATATACTTAGATGTAAGTTACTATAGAGATAGGTGGATAAATATTTTCTTTAGTGAGACTATATCGCTAATATTAATTTATCTAACATATCAATTAATATATAAATTATTCATTTAACATATTAATATTAATATATAAATTATTAATTATTTATTTAACATATTAATTAATATATAAACTATTAACTAATATTTAATATATATAATATTTTATTTAAATATATTTATATAAATAAATTTATATAAATAAGACAAATAAATGAGTCCTGTTTTATTCTGCATCTTCACGTGATTCAATAGGAGAGATCGACCTATTTCATAATATATATTAGTTTGAGACAAGATACATTGTATGAAAATTTAGAATTTCACTAATTATTTAAAATTGTGAAAATAGTGAAATTGTGATTTAAAAGAAGTTAAAGTAGGTAGGTAAATAATGAAAATGAGAAGATAAAAGATACTATATATCTTATCTCATGTTAAATAAGTCTCGACTCTCACATAAGTCTCTAGTCTAAATGATAAATCCCGACAAGCTAAAGGGTTGTATTCAGCCCAAAGTGCATAGATTGGTTCCTTACCATAATTGATGTTTGTACAATATAATCATTAAGTTGTAGATACTATTACTAGAATCGTATATATGCTTTGAAACATGTCACGTCAACTAGGAAAGAGTTACTGTGGATGTTTTTAAACAAGATTAGTTATCCTTCTGTAAAAATTAAAGTGAAAAATAAAAAGGCAATATAGCAAACAAAAGAGTAGCAATATTGCACCCCCTACCATTCTACCCACGTTTGTTAGATTAAGGTGAAAAATGGACGATTAAGGTTTTGAAGGAGGGGGCAGATATGCTCTCATAGAATTTTTCAGTGTAAATCTAACTTAAAAACTGGTCTTTTGATCACAAATTAATGGTCAAGGATCAAGAATATGACAATTTCCTACAACCTCATTTGATATGTCTGAAGCTGTCTTGGACTTGGGTGCTCTTCCAAACACGTCAGTCAAAAAATTGACAACTTCAAATTAATATAGTATGAAACGAAAACTGTCTTTTAGTAGCTTTTTTTTTTTTCTTCATGAGATTTGGTAAATTATTTATAACCATCAACTAAAGCTCAATGCATCAGATTGGTGCACCTCATGAAATAAGCTAAAATAGCAAAAACAGTAGAGATCCCTAGAACACTTGATACAAAATCTTAGTATTCCTTAAAGTATGTCATGCAATAAGGAAGATAAGATACTACACTACATCTCAAGAGGAGCTTATGTCTCAAAAGCAACAACCAGAACACCAAGCTTACATCACAAGTCTTTAACAAATAATAAAGACTATTACACTACATTACGCTGCAACAAGGAAAACAGCTTTAAAAATGGTAAACCAGCAATAAGAGGCGAATATCTAAATAAACATGTTGAGCTCAGGCCTACTGAAAACATTGGTTTCATCATCTTCCAGAATGGGATAAGCAGCTACAAGTGCATCCTGAGCGCCAATGTACAGCGAATTGTAAATCTTCCAGTACACTTCCCTAACTTTCCTTGCTGGATGGAACAACCCCTGCAGACAATAGTTAAGGATTACGGCTGCTCCCAGTGCAACCCTCATTCCTTCAATGGCTTCCATAACTGCATTGATCACATGTGGAGAAGTCTCAAAAATGTTTGGCCAGACGTAGTTCAAAAGGTGGACAAGCGCATCTTCACATCCAAGACCAGCAACTCCAAGAGCCATGTGCTTCACAGCAGAGGCAGCAGTCTGCCTGTGTACAAGATCTCTGTCCATTAGAGCATCTTCCAATAATGGAGTCACAGCATATATATAGTCCTTGCCCATTTCTCCAATGTACTCGAAAAGGAAGGAGAGAGATTTCAAGACACCATTCTGGACATTAAGCTCGGGGACTCGATACTCGTTCATCAAGGCAGGCAAGACTGTAAAGGGAGAACAGGTTTCTGCAACAATAGCAATGGCAACAGTGGTGCAGACACGGTTCTGACGTTCCTGCACCTTAAGGTTGTTCAACAATGTTGCAAGCACATCCTGAGGCCCAATAGCCTTAGCAATGTACCCAAATGTGTTCACTGTTGCTCGACGGATACCTTTCTTGTGGGCTTTAAGCATCTCAAGAAGCTCAAAACAAATTCTCATCCACTCCCTTGCAGGAACAAATTCAGCTCCACGATCTGCAATTCGACCAACAAGGTCAATACAGTTCTCCTGAACTTTCTCGTGACGATTCTTCAAAATTGGGGTCAACCGAGGAAGCAAGTCCTTAATTGGAGGTGTCATCTTGGTCATACCAATAACATTCACAATAGCCTTGAGAGCCCCCAGTATAGATCCTAGAACTTCTGGGTATTCTTCTCCCAAGTACTC